ATGTATTTGTAGAGCTTTTAATTTTTTTATAAAAAATAATATCAAATTTATTTTTATAAAGAAAATTGGTTTTTAAAAATTTTCTTAAATACATCAATATAATTTTTTCTTAAAAAAATTTATGTTTGATATCAATACATTAAAATAATTTGAAAATATCCTGAAAATTTTAATTTGAAGTAAATAAAAATTTTAAAAAATTAAGTTTTTTTAAAAATACTTCTAAAATAAAAAATAAATAAGCTCAAAATATAGCGTCAACTATAATTCTATAATTCAGTATAGCCTTCTTATATTTTATCTTGATCATTAATAATTTGTTTTAGATAAAAATTGTTAATCTAGCAACATCAGTTATGTACTTGTTAGATTTAAAATTTTGACTTGAATCAATATCTAATATAAATTATTCTAGGTATACAAGAAAAAGTTATAAAAGTATTTTTTTTATCTGATAATTTTGGTGGTTGTTGTCACCTTTCTCTTATCAAATCAAGGGTTTCACAGTTTTTAATCTTAAATTTTTTTTCAAAAAATGTGAAATTATCAAGTAAGTAATTCCATTTCATGTTATTTTGATTATGATTTATTTATAAAAAGATTAAAGAAAAAACTAGAGTTTATAAATATTTAAAATTTATATTGTTAAGATTAATTCATGATTATTATATATTTAAAGTTAAGTGTGATTTTAGGTGTGTTGTTAAAAAAATATATTTGTTAATTGATTTATTATGGGTTAAGAGATTTGTTTAAACTTTGTTGGAAAATTTAGATAAAATAACCTTGAGGTTGAAAATGATAATATTTTATTTTGGTTCTTGATTTGTGAAAAATATAGTCTAGTCTCTAAAATTTAAAAAATTATAATTTGATCCCTAAAATGTATGTTGAAATTCTGGACATTATTATTATAAAGTTAAGGATTATGAATCTTAGTTTGAAAATTGATTTGTGTAAGTTTTAGTTTAGTCCCTTTATTTTAAAAATTTACAGTTTAGTCCTTGAACTTTGAAAAAAATTACAATTTGGTTTCTGGAAAGTAAATTGATATTAATTATAAGTGGAATTTTAGCATAATTATGTATTTTTAACATTTATAATATGATCATCTAATTTTTGTAAAATCTGAAGATTTTTGTTTGTTTTGACATTTTCTTTATAATATACATTGTCTTGTATATAAAATATGAGACTAAGAGTAAATTTTTTATTCTCGGATGGTAAATATATAAATATCAAATTTGAATCTTCTTTTGTTTTCCATTCATGTTCTAAATATTATCATTAAATTTGAATTCAATAATTCTATTAAATATAAAAATAAAACAATGAGTTGAGTTAATGCCATTTTTGTTATGCATTAAATCATGTTCATTTTGTTTTTAACATATCCATTCAACATTTTAATTATTTAAATATAAAGAATATAATAAACATGAGAGGATGAAAAATCCATAATATTAATTGGATTAAAAAATAATTATTATTTTGATTTTCACTATTTCTTACAATTCCCAGTGATAATAGTTATCGATTATTTCCTTTTTCAAAATCCTCACCATGTTGTTTCTTCTCTTTGAACTCCAATGGTTTAAATGGCACATTCGTCACCAAGAAAAAAAATTGTCGATATTTTTCCAATCCAAGGTTTGACTTATGAAAGGTTTGTTAAGATTTTTGTATTTTAAAAATAATTTAAAATTTATTTATTTATTTAAAATTAATATTTTTTTAGTTTTTTTAGATTATTTTGATGTACTGATATTAAAAATAATTTTTTTAAAAAATATATATTATTTTATATTTTTTAAAAAGCATGCATAACCTTATTTCCAAATATTTTTAACTTATTTCCAAATAAGTTTCTAAATAATCAGGTCAATTTTTTTTAGTGAAGAATTGAAATATTTATTATTATTATTTTTTTTACCATTCCTTGTGGAACTTAGTGAATCTAGATGAAGTCAGACAAGTTAACAAAATCAACTAAATTATAATAAAGTTAACTTAATTTTACCGGTCACGAACGAGGATCTTTGGGAAATCGAACGGCTATGAACAAGAAAGCGTTCAACGCAAGTAAAGAGACTAAATCATAAGTTTTCAAAGACAAGGAGTTCCATGGAGAAATCAATTTTCCGTGTCTGTAGACTTTTCCTTAGTTGATGATGAGGTGGAGACCAAATATAGCATCAACTGTTTAAGGCAAGGTTTGAAAATGCTGTGAAATTCAATAAAAAATTTTATTTTTTTATGAAAATTAAAATTTTTATATATTTTAGATTATTTTAATACGTTAATTTTAAAAATAATTTTTAAATAATAAAAATATATTATTTTAATATATTTTGACATGAAAAACAAATACAATTACACTTTAAAATAGACTGTATTTTTTATATTTTATCTTTATCCTTGCTAATTTGTTTTATCCTTGCTAATTTGTTTTAGATAATTGAGAAAGATTGCAGATTAGAGGTTGATAATCTGTCGATATGAAAATTACTATATTTAAGTTATTATTAACCTCTACTAGAGGAGTTAGAAATGTTAGTTTGAAATGGCCAAATTAGAGAAAAAAGTTTAGAGGGGGTCAAAATTTAAAATTTTTTATTTTTAAGATTCAAAATCTAATTTATTAAAAGAGAGGGGATGGAAAAAAGAGCCCCTCTCTAATTTCGCCCTTGCCTTCTATATTTACTAAAGAGTCGAGGTAATATATATTTCCTATACAATAAAGTTTTAAATTTATAAAAATACAACTTTTATAAATTTATTAAGAATTTTTCTTTTGTTTATGATAAAAATAAATAGAAAGTTTGTAAAAGAAATACAGAAAAAAAAAAGAATAATCTGATTTTTATTAGAAAAAACATACTTTTCATACTAATAAATCTATAAAATTTAAACTCTTTATTTAAATTAATTAAATAACTTAGCATGTATAATCAATAAATCAATATATATATATATATATATATATATTGGTGAATTAATTAACCTTGTAAATATGCTTGAAAATATAATTATAATTATTTTTTAAAGTATTTTTTACTTGAAAAGTTATTAAAATTATTTATTTTATTTTTTAAAAATTATTTTTAAAGTCAATATATCAAATAAAAAATTTATTTTTTAAAAATATTTTTAAAACGTTTATTAAATGCATGTAGTTTACCCAAGATCTTCTAGTTGACAGGATGGCTGGCACAACAACACTTGCCATCTTCGCGGCAAGCGTAAAATGTGTCCACTTGTTGAAGATCCAAGAACTTTGTTTATATTTGTGGTCTAATAATGTCCTGACAGGAAAAACCTAATCATCTATGACAAGGGAAAAAAATTTCTTGTTCTGGAATTATCAGTGGTGCTGATAACTTTGGAGTCCTTCATTATCATCATCATTTTTGACTGATACCTTCCTTCCTGTACTTCTTAATGGACATGACTTTTATGATAAATGTAATTTCGTAGCGAAATTGAAATTTTTCTAATGAAACTTATCACTGTTTCTGAATTTTATTCTTGATTCTGCAGTGGCCTAACACTATAGCCAACGTTTTGTATGAAACGTACAAAAACCAAGGTTGGTCACTCATTTTTGTAGGGCAACATCTCTGTTTTTGAGTCGTCTGTTTTAAAATCTCCATTGATTGGAGATTTTAACTTCTCGGCTGGACGATTATGGCAGGTTTTGAGATCTTGGCATGTACTTGCAACCAGTTTGCTGGACAAGAACTTGGAAGCAATGAAGAGATTCAGGACACTGTATGCACTATTTGATAAGGTAATGCTTGTAAGGACCTATTAGTTCTTCTTTCTGAAAGAATGTGGAAATGTTTTGAATATGCTCCATCTGTTTATTTCAGATTGATGTGAATGGGAAGAATACAGCACCTGTCTACAAGTTCTGAAAATCAGAGAAAGGAGGATATTTTGGAGTTGCCATCAAGTGGAACTTTACCAGATCTTTGGTAAACAAAGTAGGAAAGGTTGTGGAAATAAATGCTACAACTATATCGCCTCTTAAACTTGAGGCTAGATCATTTGTTTTTCCTATTACAACATTTGAGTCTCGTGAGTTTCTGTGAACTTCATCTGACATTCCTTCATTCCATTTTGCAGAAAGACATACAGAATCTGCTGGGATCTTCCTAAGGAACAAGGTTTGATGGTTACACTTGAGAGTCAAGTTGTATTTAAGCTGCCAGCAAACATTGATCTCGTTTCTTATTTCAATCGACATAAATTTGCTCCCTGTATATTCTTTTATGTTCTCTGCATTTTAAAGACGAAACCAAAAGACTTTTTCTTTTTCTGGATCTCTTTCTTTCATATAGAAATCATCAGTAATTAGCAGTTGACAGCGGGCAATATATGCTGTCAGGGTGTGAGAGTTGGGAACGAAGCTCAAGATTGGAAATATTTCAGCCCTAAAGTATCTGCTTCAGATAGTGAAACTATCTTTTCGAACACAACGAAAAGTCCACCACCCTGGCTGAATTGTATTTTACTTTTGGTTCCCAATACCGATCTTTTTAATGCAATGGTGTCATCTGATTGTATCTTCTTCACCTTCACCTTAAGACTATGGAATGTTCTGTGGTTTGCGGGCATGAATTATGAATTTGTGCAATTCGTTAGTGGAAATATTTATTTTCATCACAAATAAGATGGACCTTGTACTTGATGATTGCCTGGGGAAAAAAAAGATGTTCTAAGCCTCCAATCTTTGCTTGTGTGCAATACAGTCATCGGTTCATGAATACGTGCTGTATGAACCTATGTGGGAGATACTCGTGGATATCTCTTTTAATGGTTTTGATGATCAATGAAAACATAATTCACTTCTGAGGACGGAAAAACATCATCGTAATCGATATTACAGATTCAACTCGGTCCAAACTGTCTTCATTTCACTACAAAGACAGATCGAGGAGAAGTAAGGACGGGAAAGAATGGAAGAAGAGAAAGAAGCTAGGAAGAAGAAGAAAATGAGCTGAAGAAGAGGAGGAGGAGAGTCTGCTACTCTGCAACTTTTATTAATTCATCACAAAATGTCCATCATGCAGAAAAATTACATATAAATAGTAAAGACCTAAAACAACCTGAATTGGATTCAAAGCTCACTAAATAAATAATAAATCCAAATAAAAATTCAAAGGCTTGGGCTTGGACGGGCTCAACCTCCTAACCAAAAAGTCAGGGTTAAGCTATTCTCTGTCATCTTTGTTTATACACTTGTAATATGTGATGTGGATCCGGTATCCCCACCACCCGGTTAATGTTGAAAACTCTAACTAATCCGGGAAGATGCAAATACTTTGAAGCAAGCAAATCAACTAAATTCTAGCTTATGCAGCATACAAAAAATTAGCAAGGCAAGTAGAGATCAATGCCGCACAAGCTTAAACAAGTAAGCTCTAGCATCGAAATGTTGTACGAGTGACACATTCCTTGACCAAGCAGCGATCAGGTCATCCTTGCCATCACAGATTCCAATGTTTTCTCTCCTGAGAACCAACCATTATCTCGGCAATAGCTTTCTTCTGTTACCCAGGAGCAGCGCTTCCTTAAAAAATTACCTGCTTGCAGTCACTAGGATCCACATTTAAGATCATCATCTAGCTTGGAAAATGTTTTCCATGGCAGAAAAGAAGGGTCTAATCCTTGGTGGAAATAGTTAACATTAGAAGAATCTATGTAAACAGAACTGTTTGCTCAGGAATTCTCAGCAGGTATCTCTGCCATTACACTCATCAGATAGCAGCACCTAGTTCATTCAGAAAGCCTTAAAGTATTGTCAAGCCTTCTCCACGCAACCAAGACCATGACTCTTGTAGCGATTCTTGGTTTGTTAAGTATATGAAAGTTCATGCAAAGCATATGCCATAGTTACTGCTTATAATTGATCGTCACTGATCAAAAACACGGGAAGTACACTTAACTGCTTGATCAAACTCATCAGGAACCCCTAATTTCTGTCTTAGAAGGCTCGCAAGCTTTGTCCATATTTTGTAGCAACTCACGAGCTATTTCCAATTTGCCATACTTTTGAAATGCATGCTCAAAAGCATCTCTTACGTACATGGGTGGGTGGAAACCTTTTTCAAGCATTGATCTCAGTTTCTCATAAGCAGCCTCCAATTGACCTGCTTGACAATGCTTATGCAAGATTTGTGATTCCAACTTCCTTTCCAATTTATTGGACAAATCTATTCGCCCATGTTCTCTCAACAGTTTATCCACCAAAGTATATGCATGAAAATGTGGAATCCAACCTAACCCTAACATTTCCATCAACAAGTCATAAGCAACCTCCCAATTCCTAGCTTCACCATAAGCATGAACTAATGCAGTATATGTTACACTATCCGGAAGGCATCTTTTCTTGCTCATTATCTGAAACACCCTCTGGGCATCATCCAATCTCCCCACTTTACATAGCATACAAATAATAGAATTGTAAACTACCAACTTTGGCTTCAATTCAAGTGAAAGCATTCTTCCAAACAAATGACTAGCTTCCTCAACTAAGTGATATTCACATAAAGCCTGCATCACAATGGAGTAACCCTCAGCCACACAATTTAGCTTTCTTTCCTCGACTACTTTTAGAATCTCAAAAGCCTCTGTCATCTTTCCCAATCTACAAAGCTCTGTTATGAGCTGGATTATAACGAAAGTGCTAGGTAATAAACCAAGATCACAAACAGCCAAAAACACGCCAACAGCAGGACGTATAGCACCACTCTTTGGACCCACATTGGGAACTAAAATTGTATATGGTTTACGAGAACCACGTACCCTAACTTCGTTGACAGCCCCTTCTTTTGCACTCAACAAACACAACTCCCTCATAAGAAAATTCACTGCAGACCGTGTTGGCACCAATCCAGCCCTACCCATTTCTTGAAAAAATTCAATGGCAGTCTCAAACCTACCAAATTTACACAAACCGACAAGAACATTACTGTACGAATATGTATCTGGCGATTCAATTCCTCGAAAGATACTAAGCGCAACATCAATTAGTTCCCCAGATGTGTCCTTCTTACAAAGCACATAAAGCATATTATTATACACAAAATTATCAGGTCTACAATTAAACTTTGCCTCCATTTCTTGAAACAAACAAAGGGCTTCTCTAAACCTCCCTTGCCTGCCTAAGAACCTAATACAAATAGAAAATGCACGACATGTCACACGACCATTATGAAACAAAACTGTCATCAAGAAACACTTCATATCATCAAAAAGCTTCCTCCTTCCTAAGAAATCAACCATGTACTCAATCACACAATCATCAAACTTAAAGCCCATTTGCATCCCAGCCCAAGAAAAGAATTCTAATGTTTTAACCCTCCCTAACTGCTTATAATTCATCAAGACTTGTAGCACAATATCAGAATTCAACATTTCTTTATAGCCCTCCAACAACGACTCAATATTTACCGGTTCTTTAACACTGTTAGAAAGTAAAGAGCATATTGAAGCAACAGGAGAGGAAGTAATACTTACAGTCAGTGAAGTTTCTTGTGGGTTAAGTGTAGCAAGTGAAGTTGGTCTCTTGGTGGTGGTTTTTGGGTTTGAAATATTGGGATTTGAGATTGATGAAAATAAAGAGGGTTTTGATGATTTTTTGAAGAGATTTGAAAGGAGAGAAAGGGTTCCATGTTGTCTAGCTCTGGAACAAAACATCAGATGATTTGATGCTGACCAGGGTTTTGAAACACCAGAAGAATTTGCTTGTTGTACTTAGGGCTGATATAGCTATGATGATGTTTCAGTAAAACTGGTTGGGCTGGGCTAAGAATTTGGTTGATCCTTTAAATTGACTCATTCCAATATAATCAAACCAATTTCCGTTAATATTCACTTTTAAATCCATCTTAGATCCCTAGTGATTGGGTTTAAAGTCAGCGTCTTTAATCATGTCATGCCATGCTTGATAGCATCGGAAAAAATACTAAAATAAGATGATTTTTAAATTTATCTTATTTTATTTATTTTTAGATTTTAAAAATGATTTTACAAAATTTAAAAAATTTTATTTTTTATTTTAAATTAATATTTTTTAACATTTTTAAATTATTTTAATGTACTAATATTAAAAATAATTTTTTAAAAAATAAATTAATATATTTTAAAATGCCTGTAAATGCGAGGGGTGAAATTGGAGATAATGGATATTTAGGTGCATAAACTCTATGACTAAAGAGTGCTGCTAATTCATTTTTCTACATTACAATATAGATTAGAATAAAAAAAATTAAATTTAATAAAAAATATATAGTTATTTATAATGTGTTTATTAAAAAATTAGATTTCAATCATACATTAAATAATATTTTTATTTAATATTAAAATAAAAATATTTTTGGTAGGTTAACATGCAAGAGTTACAAGGATAATTTAAAAAAAAATAAAATAAAAAACTTAATTCTCAATTACTTCAATGTTAGAGAATAAAAATGGTAAAAACTATCATTTAACTAAAAAAAAAACTTAAATAAACTAGAGTCAACTAAGTAAACCCGTGATATAAGTTATGTATATCATTAGATTCAATAATATTTTTATACCAAAAATTATTTTTCATTTAATTACATGAAGATAAAGCGCACGAGAATGTTTTTTGTATGAACATTTTCTTAAGAAAAGAAATCTTGTTAGACACATGTAGCTAAAATAGCACGAGCAAATCATTAATAAAAAAATAAAATTATATTTTTTATGTTGAGATAAATAAAAAATATATATCATTAATAACAAATAGTAAATTTATTTTATTTTTTAAAATCAAGTGATAAAAAAAATATTAAACAAAAAAACACAAATAAAAACTCAAATGCTACGGATGAACCCATTAAACCTACAATCTAGTTCATAAACTCAATTGAGCTCAATAATATATTTTATCATTTTTTTAACCCAAACATAAAATCACAAAACTTAAAAAGAAGAAAGAGTCCTAGCATATAATGCTCAAAAACCCAACCTTGATGCATGAGCCTTCTAGCTCAATCCATGTTCTTACACCTCACTTTATTATTTTTTAAAGTTTTTGACAGGTTATCCACCCTATTTCTTTTTAAAAAATAAGATGGTAATTGAAAAGTTGTTTACTTACACAAAATTAAATGACCAAAATTGCTAAAAAAAATAAAGTGTTGGTTTTTGTTATTTGAAAAAATTATTTTTCACCTAAAATACATAGGAATCACTTTAAGCACCTTGATAAATTTATTCATGATCTAAAGAACTAAAAAAATCAACCTAAATTCAAAAAATTCTCATAGTTAGATTTGTTTTCTTAGAGCATCTCCAATGGAAAAGGCAAATGAATAGCCAAAAATAAAAAATTAATATTTTAGTTTTTCTTTACTTGTTTTGCACACTCCAAAGGAGAAGTTAAACAAAATGCTAAAATGACTTTTCTCTTCCACATATGTTATTTCTACATATCTCTTCAAAGAGCCAAAACCAACAAAGTGAGACCACTAAAAAAGTAGACCAATTAAATATAGACATGTGGAAAAAAATAACATTAAACATATTCAGAAATAATAAAATACTTATTTTTTTTTACTTTAATATAAATGGCTCTTTAAATGGCTTTTTTTTATTTGAATAGATATGATAAAATAAGCTATATTTATACTATTCAAAATGCTATTTTATCAATTTAGCTTTTCAAAATAGCATTTTTTATTGGAGATACTCTTAGGCAAGTAGAAGAGGGAAAAACAACTAAGTGAAACTCACCTTATTAAATGAAATTTATTGACATTAATTTTAATTATTTTGATGGTCAAAATCAACGTCAATGACAACTTTATTTCTCTTCGTAGAAATTCGATGATTGTCTTTCTTTTTAAAAAAAAAATCAAAAAATTAAAAAAATTAATTTTAAAAAATTAAAAAGACTAATCATCTATAACCCAAAAAATATAAGGGAGTAAAATAAATATTTTTGCATAAAACTCAAAGACATCAACTAATTTATTCTCTTTTTTTTCACTTTGTTGATCTATCTTTCAATTCAATTATCTCTCAAAAAAAATATGCAATTAATTACTTATTTAGTTTTGAAATAGCTCTATTGTGCTGAGAAAAAGTTCAAAAATTAAATTAAAAAAAAATTACTGCTTGCTTCAACCCACGTAATTTATGAGAAGAGCGAACAGTGATTTAAGCAACAATAAAAATGCCTAATTTCTGTTAATTAATAATTAATAATACATGATAGATACTTTTCTAAAAGTGTATATCGTAATTATATAGAATCATATTCATTTAATTTTCATCCCAGCAAGTAAAGATGACTGGATGCCTGGTTTTGTGCTTCTTCAGGATACCAAATCGCCCAAGTTCCGGGTCATTCCACTAAACCGAACCAAATTTAATAACTGATAAATGAAGGCGTAAGCAGCAAGCTATTGATGTTTTCTTGAATAAAATATTTGAAAAGAGAGAAATGTTTCGTGTTGTTGTTTAGTTCCATAACCAGGCATGGAATGATTTGACTGTGAAGCTTGGGAAGAGCAAGTGTGGTCTCGTATTTTGTTCATATTGAAGGCCTTACAAGAAACTATAAAATTTCCTCACTTCGTTTCATGTAGTTCGTTCTCTCGACAAGCATGGGAGTAAAGTTTGATGCTGCCAAAATTTTACTTTACGTTGTATGCTATGAGTCTATTTGCTAGCAAAATCGATCATAGCCACCTTCTGTAGACTATTATTTGCTATAATAATTGTCTAAACCATGACAGATGACACTTAACTTCTGACTTTACATGTCTGCCGGAGTTATTAATGAAAATAAGTTTAATTAAAATTTTATTACAAGTGGATATGCTAAATCCCTTTTTGTAATGCTAAATTAATCAATCAGTTAATGATTCTGTAAATCACCGTCACATCTATGAGATTTCTTCAGACATCTAGCCTTCTGTGGCAATCATTTTCGATTATTGGCCACTACTCTTCTCCGAAGTCATTCTCCAGCTTGTTCTCACTGTTTTTGATAAGTCTCGGGGTACTTATCTTCATGGCTGATTTGAAGGGTCAACTTCCTTCCCTTTAAGAAAGTTAAATACACAAGCAATCAATCAATCAGTAAGAGGGAAACAGTTGCTTGTTTATCTTTGATAAGTACGTTAAATCTTATGGTAAGAACATGAACAAGTGGGGCGGAGAATACGTCTTGATTCAGAAACAATTCTCACTGGATTTCATGAAAATGGAACACCACATGTGGGGCGATGCTGCCGGCTTGCTTCCAAAATCAGGAAGCTCTTGTAGCCAGGGAACAGCAGAATTTAATTCTAAGATGGCTTGAATTGTTCTCTTGTGAATTATCTGAGTATTCAACCTTTTATAGCGGTAAAGGAACCTCAAGACTACTGGTTCATCTTTTTTCACTGTTGCACAGAGGGCCTCCAAGAGTAGAATTGTCCGTGCTCCTTTTTTTTTTTTTTCAGGGTATAGTAGGAGCTAGCCATCGCTCTCAAAGCTAAGTTTCTTTCGGGTTAGAGAGGCCATCCACACTCAAAGAGGTGCATTCATGGGAAACATTTTTCATGAAAATCGTTCTTGCTTGAGGCAGATGATTCCCTTGGGTAAGACGGCTATACAAAAGGCTAGGGCATCCATTCACGGCGTCAATCATGCAAGAAGAGTAATTTCCTAACACGAAACCAATTGTCAAGAAAGAATACCTGCATCCAATGGAATACATTACAAGACGACTCTCCAGAAACTTCCTATAGTTGAGGATCTCTTGCATTCTAGAGCTTTTTATCTGCTACCGGTCCACATTGACAACGTAGACAAATATTTCCAGCCATTCCCTTTGGATAAAATTCCCAGCTATAGAAAGGTCTAGCCCTGCAGTTGTCAACACCGCTGTTGATATGCAGAGGCACTTCTGCAGCGGCCACACAGACCATTGCTTACCTTCATAAAGCAGTTTTAACTACCAGCCCGTACAAGGCAAAGATGTGCTGTCGCGGCCGCTTTGTGTGGTGGCTAAGTTAGTTTTCTTCTCAGAACAAGTGAACATCGTCACCCTAAACCAATCATTGTAAGATATCAAACAAATTGTCTTGCCTAACTGCAAGTGCACAGAAAGACAAGTACCTTGTGGGTAAAAATCATAGCATTCTATAACATGTATCGAAACCTCAACCTCTGGTTTGCAAGTTGAGGCTTAATTTTTACAGCAAAAGAAAGAAATGGTACAAGCACAAACATGTTTGAGCTTTAATCATAAGAAACTGTGTTAGCACATAGCAATAGGGTTCAGCATATGCTTAAGCTTGTTCCTCTTCACTTCCTTATCCCCCCCTCCCTCCTTGCCGCCTCCACCACCAGCCAATATGGGGCAGTTAATCTATCCATGTGATGGATGAACACAAGTTAGTTGTCAGCGGTAAGCATGCGATGTCAGCATTAGCACACTACAGCAACCATTCATGGATCAACAAAGCAGAAACCAGGGTAACCATAGACTCAACCCAGTTAGATTAGTTACCTCAGCAATCGCAGAGATCTGGAAGTATTTGGTGAAGGCTCTAGGGGAGAGGCTCTCACCACTGCATAAAAACCAACAACTCATGTTGGAACTAATTATAACCACATCAAACACAAACTACTCCCAATTTTGAACAAATGGAGAATGAATAGCTTTATTCATATAACAATTTTATTTTCAACATTCTCAATACAATAATCACAGAAATGTCTTAGTCGCCGCCGAATCATGTCAGACTCCTATGGGGTATGCGATTGTTCTCAAACCTGAAACATTTCTCTTCATTTACTTTAAAGCCAGCCCATCTTTGCATATGCTCTGGCCGGTCCATTCCAACTAAGGAAAATGCAGGAGCTTTAATTCTTCCAAATAGTTGCGCACTGGAATGGATCATTGAGGCACAAGCACTAGATGTAGGTCCGGGCAATTGATTGCCCACTGCCAAGGAAAATGAGCATCCGATCTTCCCAAAAAGATGAACCTTCAGCTGATAAACCTTTTGATTTCAAAATGCCCTTCAGCTGCATAATCTAACAGTGCACGCCACAGTCTGTGCCCAAAATTTGAGTCTTGCTTTAACATCTTCAGGATGGTCACCTATACGGGTTAAATAAGAAAGCATAAAGATTAAAATCTAATGACTAATCAATAGAATCAAATTCAGGTTATCGCCAAATCAATTTCACAAACAACAAATCAGACCATAGTACATGATTTCTGGCCCTCAGACATCTTTACAGGTTATTCTGTGTACAGTACAGATACTCAGTTTTGTACACGTATTAAGAGCAGGCAAAATCTAGATGTATGACAAGCAGGGTGTCTGAAATGAGGTCACTGGCAACCAGATCATGGATCTTCAAATTGGCAGCATAAACCAGAAGTAGAAAAAGAAAGAAGGGAAGATCAAGATGATCACATCGGAATCAGATTAAAAAATTACAGCAATGCAGGAAATCGTTCCATCTCAACGAGTCCAATACATCATCTTATACATGAATTACAAATCTAACACATTCAATAATTATAACTACAAACATAAACGAAAAGAGCTCAAAAATCTTAAATCAAGGTAACCACTTGAACCATCAAGAATTTGAGCTTTCAAACATCCAAAAACCAGATCTAACAAGAAAAATCTAAATTTAAACCAACCAAGAACCAAAAGAACCATCAACTCACCAGGACTAGAGATCTTCCAATTAGCAATGGGACTAGAACTTGCAGCCTCGGCCTCGGCCTCAGCAGGAGAAGAACTCTCATGGGGCTTCTGATGCTCGTCAAGAAACTTCTGACTCATTGAGTAACAAAGTTCAAGAGCTGGCAAAGTATTGCAAAGTTCAGGGATCTCGTCATAACTAAAACCAAACCCAAGATCCAAGCACCCTTTTAACTCATCAAGATCATCATCTGTCAAACTCTTTGTCCTCTTCAACTCATCTTCGCTGTTACTACTTCCTTCCACATACCCTTCTAACAGCACTTGACTCTTCTTTCTCTGGATCTTTCGAAGAGAACCCATATTGGAGTTTTTGGTAAAGGTGTCGTTTTGGTTCATGTTTTGCCACACTTGCTCAGTCTCTTGACCCAAAAGATCATCATTATTGTAATTATCATCATCAAGAAAATCTAGGTTATGGGTTTGATCATTTTCTTGAACATTTCCTAGGTTTCTTGTAGAAACCCAAGACTCTTCTTCACGAGGGATGCTACGCATGTTTTTTTCTGAAAAGGGTTTCTCGCTTCTTTTCTCTCACTCTCTCAGAGGTGCCAGGAAGAGAGGGAGAGATGCTGCTTATAAAGCTGTGAACTCGATGTGAGATTAATCGATCATATTTATTTCATCCTTACATTATTCATGTATTTCATTATGGTCCATCTACGTTTTAATTCTTCAATGTAATATATTTCACAGCCTTTAAAAATGCAGTCTCTATGTCCACTGCTATTTTTCATGTTATTTTTTATTTTCTTATTACAACATCTATCTTGAATTGATGAAAAAATAAAATTGTAAAATCAATAGTTAATACAATTAAAAAAAACATGCAGAATAACCTCGATAAATTAATAGTCCTAATAGATAGTATTTTATTTGATTCCAATTTAAATTTAAAATTTAAATAATATCTTGATTAATTAATAAGTTTTTATGACTTCAAAAATATTAATTTTTAAAGGATTAAATGCATTTAAGCTTTATATATTTAATCCCATTCAACATTACTATTTTCACAAAACACTTATTTAATAAATAGCCCAATAGACACATGTAGAATAACCTTGATAAATTAATAATCCTAATATATAATATTTTATTTGATTCTAGTTTAAATTTGAAATTTAAATAATATTTTGATTAATTAATAATTTTTTATGACTTCAAAAATATTATTTTTTAAAGGATTAATTGCATTTAAGCTTTTATATTGAATCTCATTCAATATTACTATTTCCACAAAACACTTATTTAATAAATAGCACAATCTATGGCATTAAATGGTTTGCCTAATATATCTTGAAGATGTTTATGAATACAATTGAAATTGTGTTTTTTAATTTTTATTTTTATTTTATTTAAAATTATATATTTTAATATTTTTCATGTAAAAAACGTTTTCAACTACAACTATTATTACACTTCTAAACATCTTTTCCACTTAAGTGGTTATAAAGACTACATGCATCATAAGAATTGTGGACTGGAGGGATGAATTTGACAAGGAAAAGTACTAGAGGGATCATATTAAAATATCTGAATCACGTATGAAATTTTCAAAAATAAAGTGATGGAATATATGGTCAAATGGGTCCTAGGATTTGGTATGATGTCATGATGAGTGATGCGTATGTATGCATGTGTCTATGCACATGCATTTCGGTGGATATGTATCCATGGTGGTATTGAGGTGGCAATAGAGACAGCTTGCGATAGGTAATGGTGGGTGATGATGAGAGGTAGAAGAAGAGGACACGTGGTGATTGAAATGAGGTGGAGGTGGGGTCCATGAGAAAGGTGGGCTCCACCATGTGTATTATGTAATTTGATGGTGGTGTTGTTTCTTTTTTTATTTTTTATTTTTTTTTTGTTTGGAAGTGAAAATGAAAGCAGGAGATGATGGGCGTGTGAAAGGAAGCAGCTTTCTGGATGTGTTCAGGCACAGTGGGAAGTTGCTTTCCCATGCCTTGAAAGCTGGAATTTTTTTTTAAAAAAAAAGATTAGATTATGCTTCTATGGTGAGATTTCCTGGCATTATCTTGCATGTTTTGAATGGTTGTAATTATTTTTTAAATATTTTTTATATTAAAATATATATTAATAATAATTTTTTATTTTTAATATTAATATATTAAAATAATTTAATAATATATTAATTTTAAATCAATAAAAAAATTAATTTTTTTAAAATATTTTTGAAACATAAAAATAACAAAAACAGAATATCTATCCAATAGAAGTGTGAAAACAGAAATTATGATCAAAATTTAAATCCATTAATTTTAGCTTTCATTTATTCATGAAAATTTAATTTTTTATAAATAATAATTTTTAAATTTAAAACTTACTGATTTTCCAAGAAAAAGCAAGACACTTTTAATTAATTAATTATCAAATCATTACTTTTAAATATTGAACACGACAATACATAGCAGGGTATCCATGCATATTTTCATGTCTTTTATATTTTAAAAATCAATAAATTATTTTAAAATTATTATAAAAACATTTTTTTTTTATCTTTTCAACAAAATATGAATCTATCTCTTCAACATCTGTCTTCTATCGAATCAGATTTATTCACTTTAAAATGGTTATAAAAACATATTTATTTTATACATTTTTTTTTTAGCATGACATGTGTTTTTTTCTTTTCAGTATCTATTTTTTCTATCATTAAATTAAGTTTATTAACTTTAAAATTACTATAGAGACATGTTTATTTTATATATTTTTTCAATAAAATATATTGCTGTCTCTTCAATATCTATCATTGAATTAGATATATATACTTTAAAATTATTATAGAGAAATATTTATTTTATATCTTTGTTTTTTGTTTTTCAACAAAACATGTTTCTGTGTCTTCAATATCTATTTCTTTTATCTTTAAATTAGATTTATTCACTTTAAAACTGACATGGAGATATATTTATTTTATATTTTCAACCTAACATATTTATGTTATTTCTTTATCTATTTTTTCTGTCATATAATACTAACCAAATTTAATTTAATGAATATTATTAAATGATCTTAAACTTAAACAATATTCACAATTAATGTGTGTGTATTAGATAACACTACATTAAGAATCATTCATGGAATACTTAGTGTTGATTTAATTCCAGGTATAAGCACATAGCTTTCATCCTACTGTTTAAAAGTACGTTAGTGATTAATATTTAAAATATGTTTCATTTTAAATATATTAAAATAATATATATATTTTAAAATAATTTTAATGGAGTGAAATGGGATTAGTCTGTTGGGTAAAATTGAGAAGCATTGTACGTTGCTAGTGGCCAGCTTTGCATGTGGAGGCCATGATTTGAGAACCAGGGACAAGATCTTCAGTCATATCTTTGTCAAGCATGCACTTAGCCATGATTACTCTTCTTCAAGCTCGAGATGTATATAAACGAGGCAGAGGACCCGTGCCTTTTAATTGAAAAAATAAAAAATAAATAAAAAAAGATAGAGAGGCTCAGTGCATTAGTCGCTCCTCCTATTTCTGGGTATAATTAACCTTCTTTTTCACTGCTTTTTACCATATGGATCCGCATTAGAAAGTCATGTCATTGCGACTGTCGAGCTGACTTTTGCTGCCGAAAGCCTCGTCTCCATGGAGAGTGCAATCTTCCCCAGCTTTCGAGCCGTTTGCCTTGGATTTCAAAAATATTAATTTGTTTATTAAAAAATCTTTATTATATTTTTAACCTACTTCCAATAATTTCTCTTGGATTATGATTTTAGCTATTTTTTATATTATTTTTTATATTAAAATATTAAAATAATGCCCCTTAATTGAAAAAACAGACACAGTAGAAATAGAGAGAATATTGTTTTTTTTTTACTTTTTAATTTAAAAATTATGTTAAAATATTTTTATTTTACATTTTTATCCTTATTTTTTAATTAAATATATTTTTATCTCTTTATATTAACCCAATATAATTTCATTCCGAATCTTTTTTATTTTTTAAATTCAAGCTAAATAAGCTCATACATGTCACAATTTTAAATTTATGAATAATGAATTAAATATAATGGTTAATGATTATGATAAAATTTTAATTAATATTGCATTTATAATTAATACATCAATTAAATTCAGGATTAATTGATCAAATAATTTATAATAATTAATTAAATTGATCCCTTGATTTATAAAAAAATCATAAAATTATCAAAATTAAGATCCCAATACAAGAATTTTGACAAAATAACAATTTCATAATTATCCTAAAAAAATATCTAGAAATCCATGTAAAAATCTAAATATAAAATAAAAATTTATGATCTAGTTAAGATATTATTATGGTATAGCATGATCATAAATATATCTATTTCATTAAATGTTGTGCTTAAATCATGGAAACTTGAAAGCGTATTATTATTATTTAACTGTATTATCCAATCAAAACTTTCAACTTAATTCACTAATTTTTTTTTTATTTTAAATTCCTGTAATGAGAGCTTGAAAACTGTCAATGAACAGAAGTCTAATCATTAAGATTTATGTGGCCGCTACTCCCCGTGTGGATTTTTGACTCTTTGTCTTCCAGCTTTCCACGACTTCTTTTCATTTCACTTGTCTAACGCCTCTGATCAAACCTGTTAGTTGAACATGGAAGAACCGACCTAGGAAAGAACAGCTAAACACCTACTACTGCTAGCCAGCTGCTGCGCAAGAAACAGCTAAAGGTGATTGCGCAAGGGAGCCGTTAGCTAAACTAGTAATACTTAACTGCTAAGAGAGTTAATTTCTCAGAAAATATTCATGTTTCTGATATTCTCTTAATGTATAATTAATTAAGAATCTTGTGATAATTGTTTTTATATAGTTTAAAAGATATATATATATATATATATATGTAAACCTTTCTTAACCTAATAATTGAAACTCTTAGGTGAGAATTATGATATTATTTATATTATTTTTAATATATTTTCTGAAATAAAAGCTCTTGAAACTTAAATTTACACAAACTTATACTATTTTATATTTAATTTTTATTAAATAAATAAAAATAATAAAATTTGATTATTAAAGTTTTAATATCATATTAAAAAAATTAATTTAATAATTTAAATTATTAAATAAATTTCAGTAATAATTATTTTAAAAAAGATATCACCAATATAAAAAAATAAAAAAGTGTCAGTATTGAAGTAGCGAAGGAAAGACGGATTGCTATCTATCTATATATATATATAATTCGGTTCATTATCTTCCCTTCTCCAGTGTGTGTGCGTGTGCACGCACACTGGAGAAGGACACACACACACACTGGAGAAGGGAAGATAATGAACTTTTGGATGACCACAGATTTGAGAATCACGATCATGGGCAGAGGATAAGTGCTAGTTAATGATAAATATTCACGCACCAAGCAACCTGATCGACAAGGGACATGTATATTGGAGGCCTAGAGAAACCCTAAAGATGTCCCATCCTGAGAAATACATGGATCACAGACAACCCAAGTTGAGTAATTTACTTTGTTTTTGTGGCTGCAACTATGCACAAACCTATACTCTCACAAAGTCGATG